CCCACCCCAAATTTTGTGATTGAAGTAATAGCCATTTATTTAATTCATGCTCCTTGTAGATTGGCACTGTCACCTGGACACTGCTGGCCACTGGCAGATAGATTGGTGGCCAGTGGGTCTAGCTCTGCCTCAGCTGGGCTGACTTGGTTTGTTCCAGGGAAGCCCTCGTCTTCTAGCAAGAGCCTGATCTTGTTGACATGGCTTCTCAGCAGGGACCAGTAACAGTTTTGACAACTCTGTTCATGACTTTTCTTCTCTTATTGTTTATCAGGTGATGTTACAGGGCACCCCAGTGTGAATTGGGCTGCCTGTCGGTGGGGCCTCACCCTTGCTTTAAATTCAGTTGTACTGCAGGCGCACACAAAAGGGTCAAAATGGGCTTATTTGCAAAAGGGAAAAGAAAAGGAAACAACAACTGGGATATCTTACCTGCTCAGCTGACTTGGAGCACTGGTAACAAACTAAATGAAAGCCACGAGTCACGTGGTCCGGAGAGCCGTTTCCCGAGCAAGAGAACAAGAGATGAAATGTCCCAGAATGCCTGCTTAGCTCCACCCTTGGGTCCTCACAGCTCTCTTCCTGGTGCTGCTGGGAGTTGTAGCTTCCAATCACTGGAGTAGGGGGTGGAGTCCAGAAAGCCAGAGTAGAGGTGGAGTCTATAAGACTCTGCAGAATTCCTTTAGGACATCCTTCCCCTTAACAATGACACTGAAACAGTGGAGTTCCTCCTGTCTTTCTTAAAATATATTAATCTTCCTGTCTCTCTGTCCATCTGTTCTTCCACCTGTCTGTCCATCTCTCATCCCAGGTTTACAGTTCCCAGGTTGTGTGATAGACAACAGGGATACAAACACAAATAAGCTGTGTTCTCTGATGCCATGGAAGAGAAAGATCAGTTACACCCCACAGAGTGAGCGAGAGCAGAGAGGAACAGAAGACTGAGGAGGGTCCATCACTGCGACATGCTCTCTGTCTACTCTTCTTCTTGTGCTGCTATTACAAGTGTCCCGAGGCTCAGCATGCACTTGCCTCAAGTGTTAGCATCTGAATGTGCAAATACAATTCCCACCCACATGCATGTGGATCTTAACCCACGTGCTCTAATTCATCTCCCTGTCCTGAGCTCTAGATCTGTCTGTAGTCACCTGAGTTCTGGATAATGACAAAAGTAGTTTAACACAACTTGGACAAAGCTGAACTCACAAACCACTCCTGGAAATCTCTGTATTTTCCACCATCTCACCACCTTGTATTCTGATCTGGGAAATCTGGAATCTGGGAATCACATTAAAATTATAGCTGCTTCGTACTGGATATTTACTATTTCCCAGTTATGGTGCCAAATGTTTCAGGTAGATTTTTGAACTTGAGCATAATAACATTCTCATATTGCAAGCATTAGTACCTCACTCCATGAATGAAGAAGCAGATCAGGGGGATTAGCTTGTCCAAGGTCCCACTGTTTAGGGGCAGAGACGGTATTAAAACATAATTCTCTCTGGCTTCAAAGACTATGCCTTAACACTCAGTCACTGACTTAAAGCCACAGATACCGGAAACACAGACCTGTTTCACTTACCAGGGAAGTGATTTATTAACATTTTAAAATAGGGAGGGTTCAAACAGAATCTGGATTTCAGATATTCTTTTGAAAATTCATAAGTTCTGATAACTTACCTCACATTCCAGATGATAACAGTTGGCTTCAGGTGAACAACACCCACCTAGCTTGGAAGGAGTGGGCATTTCCCAGCTTGCCACAGTCCCAGCACCCCTGTCGTCTTACTGCTGGTTCACTTCCTCATTCTCTGCCTGATTCTTGCTGGCATTTGACTTTCTGGCTCCTGTTCATATGGTATTCCTAGACTGTCCCTTTTTTCATTATTCTAATATCCATTTGCTCCCTGAACTGACAGTGTTAGTGTAAAATCATTGTCCAGAGTGTCTCACATTCTTACCCAGATTGCTACAAATTGGTTCTCATCACCTCTCACCTCAATTACTGAATTAACACCTGGTTCTGCTTCCAGCCTTAACATCTACTCATTCACACTTCACATGGCTTACAGTTATGAATTTTTTTTTTTTTAAGCCAGTATGTTCTGTCCAGTGGCTTTAGAATGAAATGCAGCCTCTTTGGTGTGACGAACAAGACCACACTTGATCCTCCCTCTGACCACTGCCTCATTTGTGTTAATAAACACGCACCACTTGACCTTACTGAAATATGGGGTCTCCCCAGCGTCATGAACCTTCACATCTCCTTTCATTTTTACCCACCCCCCCCTCCAGGGAATAGTTCATGTGGATTATATATTATTTACATATTATCTGTCATTGAGTCTATCAGCGTGAGTTAGGATGGTTGCCTTTCTAACATGTGTTTGTCCTTTATTTGACGTGATTGACAAGTCTCCTTTTCTTCTTTCACCAAGACACAAACAGAAAGAAACACAAGTTCTAGTTGTACTGATCCCTCCTGATGTCTCCTCTGATCCATCTCTCCCTTCTCTCTTTGAAGTACAGCACAGAAGAAAGAGCTTGACATCTGCACCCAGCTCTGGCGTCCTCTGGCCATGTAGACCTGGGAGGTTCTTTCACAGTCCCTGTCACCATTCTCCCCGTGCTCAGCAGTGCTGCTGTCCAGTAGAGCTTTTCCATTCTCTCACGGTGCGGATAGATAGGCTAAGTGACATAGTGCACGTGAAAGCTTAAAACCACGTGTCCGTATCGGCTCCCAGGAACTTTCCCTGTTGCTATTGCTGTTACCCTCAGTCACTCACTCACTCACTCACTGACTCACCACCAGGTTGAATGTTCTTGACATTTTGACGTCTTGTCTTTATGGAGCTTGCAGTAACTTTATGAAGAAAATCACTTCTGCCTTGTCTTCAGAGCGAGGTAGCAGGAGATTAGAGAGCTCGGCCCTACCTGGGTGGCAGTTTGTCATAGGGTGTTAAGTGTCTAATTATGTTCTTTTCCATCAGAGTAAAATGGAAAACATCTCACGAAGGAGAGAATTCTATTCCACTCTAGCATGTGAAGGGACTTTTTGGAGAATTCAAGTGTTATTAAAACTGATTGCATGGTTCACGTTTAGTACGACTTCTAAAATTTAAAAACGACCAGGAACTTTAAAGTGTGGAATAATAACATTAGACTTTTATTTTGAATTTTCTGTTTCTGCACAGAAGAACACCAGGTTGATTACCAGTTTGTGAGTGATGCTTCAGATAATTAAATATCTGGGAGCTATTTTTGTTTGTTTCATATATTCACTGTATCCTGAACAATAACAATAAATCTCCCAAATATTGCTAGAAGTTCTTTGATGTGAAGATGGGTAGACATAAACAAGACAGAACATAGGAATAAAATATATAAGAGTAAATTAATTTAACTTTTGTTTCTAAATTTTGAAAAATTTTCATTTAATTGTTGAACTAGTCTTAAAAATCTTAAAAAGAATGGATTTTGTCAAAGCTCTGTTAAATACCTACAGGGATACCCAGACTGAAACACACACACATTGTAGCAATATATGTTTAATTTTTAAAGCTGAGATATTGAGACACCCACACACCAACATAAAAGCCACTTGCAGAATAAACACATTTGACAATGAAACACTTGAATGAAAATGAAAAGTTTTTATTGAGGTCAGATTTACAAATTTGAAATTGCATTTATGTATACAATTCAATGCTTTTTAGTGCATTTTGAGTGAGGTAAACTCACCATAACCCAGTAGGGCTACATTTGCACCAACCTAGCAGACGTCTCATGTCGCCTCCGCCCAGCCCCAGGCACCAGCGATTCTACCTTCTGTTATCTGTAGATTTGCTTTTTCTGGGCTTTGATTTACATCTTACAAGTGGAATCACCTATCACCAGGTTTTGTAACTTTTGGCATCTTTTACCTGGCATGGATTTGGGAGAGTTACCCAGTTCGCAGCAGGGGTCAGCCCTCATTCCTGGTCAGCCTGCCTCCTGCCCATCACAGGACACCACAGTCTATTCACCCAGCACAGTAACCAGCTTAGAGAAAGATGCATGTTCGAGAAATGCCAAAGGTGGCTCTCGAGAAGGAATGTTTTCATTGTTGACTGCCGTAGGTAGCTTTCATTATTTAAATTCAGGATTTATTTTAATCTATTAAAGCAATGACTCTTTCTCTCTAGCAAGTGTTTAAAATAAGAGGTGAAAGCCCTTCACTAACCCTAATTCTTCCTCTTCCTGAAGATAATCTGTTCATTAATTTATGCCATTGTTCTAGATTACACGCACACACAAAACACGTGTCAGACCTACATGTCCTTGTGTCTACACAAGAAGCTGTCAGATAAACCATATTTCAACAACATTGGAATCTCAGGATTTAAGTGTTTTGTTTTTATTTATGCTCACAGAACTGAAGTACAGCCCAGAGATGTGGTGGCTGAAAGGTTCACCAGAGGCAGAGTGGGGAGCAGAACAGGCCGACTGATGAAGTCACTGCTGAGGGGAGCAGCGGGGAGCCAGGAGAGGTCTACCGCGCCATGTGGGTCACCTCCCTGGCTGGGGATTGAACTGTGCTGCAGTGGCTTTGGAGAGCTTCATAATGCGGTGCTTCAATCGGTTGCACCACCAGGGAGGGCCCAGGACTTCGGTTTTTAAGCCCCACTTAGCAAAGCTAAGCAAACCTGTGACTCACCTGGGTAGGCTGGGTCTCTCTGCAGAGACTCAGTGAGTGAACTGGTTAATCCGCTCGCAGTGGAGAGAAGTGTAGACCCGGGGGCTTGGTGAGCAAGTGTTCTATGGAAACCTGTTTCATTCTTACTCCCCCCCC